AACAGTCGCTACCACCGCTGGAGAATCGATACAGCCAGCCAATCGGCCGTACGGAGACGACCACGAACGTTATCGGTAGCTGCGGTGTTGTTGTTTGTTTTTTCACATCGTAGTCGCGAAGAAATTGTTTCTATGAAACGCCGCCAGGTAAATGTGATTGCACAGTACTAATAATCACCAAAGTCAGTAAATGCCGAGTGCATCATCAATGCAAATTGCAGAAATAAGGATTACAGATACTCGCAGAAAGTTGAATGAATTAATTCAGGTCCGCAAGGAAGTTCTTTGGCAGAAATTCGAAGCGTTGGGAAATCATTGTAAGCAATGGAACTCCAAGAACATTCCCAACACATGAGAAAACTAGAGCACGGCTTTCGCAACCCTACTGTCAATGACTACACAAGATCGAATTCGTGCCACTGTCCTTTAGTGGACAGATCAAGGGAAAAGCATAAGTGTGGCCACTGAAATACCTAGTGACCCATCTCTGAAAGCACTATCGCCAAACAACGATCAGGTCATACTAGCCTTCGAAGTAACGTAAGCATCGACTCATAGTTTTGTGAGACGTGAAGTGACCGATCCACTATGAATTGCAGAGAGCGCAGACCAGATAGTCACAGCTGTCGCTCACCTCTGTGAATTCCAGAATTCGGCCAACGACGGAGAAAGATGTCCAAAGCAATCTGGTAGATTTCTATTGAACGACAAAGACCGCTGAAATTTTATAAACCACTCAGAATTTAGCCGGACGCGCTTGGTCCGGGTTGTTCACCAGTCCTACTGCATGCATTTTGAGCGCCGCCCACTTCGATAACCACGTGCTTCGCCTTCTCAAGAATCGCTTTGTCGAATAAAGTTCGTAATATATTGTGGTCTAGAAATGAGAGTCAGTGGCTTCTCTGGGTAACGACCCCTGAACAAAGAACATCAATGATTCGCTCAAAGGACAAGGGAAGTCTCGTGGTCTCACGGTTGGATACATTTCTGATTGATAATCCTTACTATATATAAACCGCAAATGTCCGTTTGTCTGTTCGTACGTTTGTCTGTTTGTCTGTAACACTCTCGTATATGGGGGTATGTGTCAAGTCGTGCGTCCGAGGGTGCGCGCGGCAAAGTGCGCGGCGAAGTTCGTGGCGAATTTGGACGACTCCAGCGCCTATCGTTGGGGCCAAAATCTGAAGTAGGATAGATTAGTAAGGTCAGCTGATCCTACTATTCTACTGTACTTCTAAATTGGGCCCAAGTAGTAGGCGCTGAAGTCGTCGGAATAGGTATGAATTTCGCCGCGCAGTTTGCCGCGCGCGTCCTCGGACGCACGACTTGACCGTCCCCCCGTATATGGTGCCGTTTGGAAATCAACTGGAACAGCTCACAATCAGACAGGTTGGAACAAGTGGGGAATGAGCCGAACTCCTTGGGTGCACGTGACTTAAGCTAGCTCCGCCCACCAGGGGCGGAGTGTCCCACTAGGGGTGGGGCGTGCGCGAGAGCTGTAGTCCATCGGAATCTGTAACTCCTGTTCTCCTGGGCCTCGAGTATTCAAATTTGGGATGAGAGATGCAGGCGGCAAGATGGGAAAGTAATGGTTGGTGGCAGGTGTAGACTCCGCCCACTGGAGGCGGGGCTTCCTCGAAAATAGTGAATTTGGACCTGAGGCGTCCAAATTTGATAATGTAGGCGGCAAGATGGAAAAATCGATGGTAGGTGACAGGTATAGACTCCGCCCACTGGAGGCGGGGCTTCCTCGAAAATAGTGAATTTGGACCTAAGGCGTCCAAATTTGATAATGTAGGCGGCAAGATGGAAAAAGTGATGGTAGGTGACAGGTGTAGACTCCGCCCACTGGAGGCGGGGCACCCTCGAAAATAGTGAATTTGGACCTGAGACGTCCAAATTCGGTGATGTAGGCGGCTAGATGGAAAAATCGATGGTAGGTGACAGGTATAGACTCCGCCCACTGGAGGTGGGGCTTCCTCGAAAATAGTGAATTTGGACCTAAGGCGTCCAAATTTGATAATGTAGGCGGCAAGATGGAAAAAGTGATGGTAGGTGACAGGTGTAGACTCCGCCCACTGGAGGCGGGGCATCCTCGAAAATAGTGAATTTGGACCTGAAAAGTCCAAATTCGGTGATGTAGGCGGCAAGATGGAAAAATCGATGGTAGGTGACAGGTGTAGACTCCGCCCACTAAAAGCAGGGCTTCCTCGAAAATAGTGAATTTGGACCTGAGGCGTCCAAATTTGATAATGTAGGCGGCAGAAAGGGGAAACCAATGATAGGTGACTCTATTCACCGGGGGCGGTGTTTGCATGAAAATAGTACGTATGGGCCTGCCTATAATGATTTTTGCATGGAATTTTGCGGATAAATTTCAGAGTTGAGATAAATTCCCATTTCATCTCCAGTGAAATACAGTCATTCCACAATGGTAAGGGACAAACAAGAAATTAATGATTTCGAGGTCTTTTTTTAATTTTTTGGATTGCCTCAGTTAGTATCTGTGCAAACGTATGTAAATGGTGTGAACGGCCAAATGCAGTTTACTAGAAATGTGCGCTTCCATTTAACGGCTTATGACGCTATTATTTGTGGTGGGAAAACGGTACTGCCCATTTTTTTGGAAGAGGGTGGTTACTGAGTTGCCAAGACAATTACGCGTCAGGTTATCTTCGGAGGAGTCCATTTATCGGAGGTCATGAAACGCGCACGATACTGTGCGCAGCTCAACTGGTTTTGGAAAAATTCAGAAATAAGCTCGAAATGGCATTCATTTGTTTGGAAATTTTTTTTGCTGACCTAATGAGTGGACCTAACCTACATGCGCTGAAAACAAAAAAGAGTTGAGCGCGAAGCCTTTCATAAATTATAGAATGCATAACTCTACCTTCGGGATGCACAGATTAAACAACTTTTGAAACGAAGTCCACTGTGTACGGCGAGCCTATTTGTGTTCGTTTCAGATAAGCACCCCTATCTCGAAGGACGGAGGATTTTGAGATAGAGAGGTTCGGAGAAAATTTCATGAAATCTTTTTCGAAGGGTCCTGTGGGAGGCATGAGTTGCATCGAAACTGACTGAACTTCTACCATGAGGGAACCGAAAAAAGGTCAGAACCTTTGCATTTTGGAGTTTAAATATGGATTTGAGTGTGCTGAATATCATCATGTTTATTATTATTTGTAGTTGCACCGTTAATATTCGCTATCTTTTTAGATTCTATCTTTAGCCTTTTCGGTTGTGTGACAACGCATTTCAGTGAAGTAGGCGATTGTTAGAAAGTGAACGCGACATCGGCCAAAGAAGTCAGTTCGAATTGGGAGGCTGAACGTGGTATCGCTTACTGAGAGGTCTCAAGAAGTCGGTCATCTTATAAATGCAGGAATATCCAAGCCCTGTCTGTGACTTTAGGAAACCCGCCGGAAAGGAGCAAAGGCCGAAGAAATTGGAAAGGATTTCAAGTTATTTCACAACGGAGAAGACATCCTACGAAATGATATGGGCGTCGCAGTAGCAGAGTTCTTCAAAGATCCTGTCTCCGCTGTCAACAGGATCAGCAGTCAACTCATGGCTGTAAAGCTGGACACGAAAGAGGGGTACTGGACAATATTATATGTGAGCGCACTACAAGCCGACTGCCTCGGATACGTGGAGATAGATGAATACGAGTCAGGAACGAGTAAGAAGAGAGGGCCGTTGGCCCGGCCACAGCCCGTAGCTTGGCATTCTGCAGCACCTTCTTCGCAGAAATCGAGACTTAGGAGGTAACCCTCAGCACTGGGAGGAAAGAAACGAAAGATCTCCCTCCACAGCACAGGCCTCTGCTAGCAGGAATAACCATCGATCCTCCCGAGGGATCAAAGACAAGGACGGAGCAGAGGATTCGGTGGTGAAAGCTGGACCGAGTCGAGAGAGAACATCTGAAAAAGAATATAATGAATATAGACTCCTAGATCTCGAAGAGCCGATCCAGCAGACCTGGAGCAACGCCGTGAAGGCCATCCTTTAACGTATAAACGAAACGCTGAGGTGACTCGAGGTGGATTTCGAGGAGGCAAGGAAGAATGGTTCTCGAATGATGAAGTCCAGCTAGCTGTGAGGTAGAAGAAATCGGCCTAGAAGCGCTGGCATAGAATACGAGCGCCAGAAGACCTAGCTGCCTACAGAACTTCCAAGAGACTCGTCAAGGCTGCTGTAGCGAAGGCAAAGAGTATGGAAAATTGAGCGAAATGGACGCCCTCCACTCGGTGCTCGAGAAGGAGAGGAGTTCTTCTTTCAGCTGGTGAAAGCGTAGCACCGGGCTGCTCAGGACATCGTCGTAGTGGAGTCTGTTGAAAGCAGCGAGGGTGCAATACTGGGAATACTTGGAAAGGCCAGGTAGGTGGAAGCAATACTTCGACAAGCTCCTAAACGTCTGCAAGGACAGTTCCCAGCTGAAGGAAATGGCTGGTCTCATCAAGCTTTGGACAGAGGATCAAGTGCGTAGAGCAATGGGAAAGATGAAGATTGGAAAGGCGACTGGTCCGGGTAGCATACCGATCGAGGCATGGAGTGCGCTCCGTGAGTGGGGGATAAAGTGGCTCACCCAATTACTGTACACTGTGACCACCAAAGGAGGGATCTCGAATGCGTGGAGAAGCACTGAGTAGAGGGGGACGCAATTCCAACTACAAGGGGCTAAGGTTAACTGCTCACACGATGAAACTGTACGAGTGGGCAGGAGCAGTCCAGCTTTATGCTTGAAAGGTCTACAACGGAGTCATCTTCATAGCTAGCCAAGTTCTGGAGAAGTAACCCTGCTGCCTAGCCCTCCTCGATCTGGAGGAGGAATTTGACCGTCTCCGGCGACAAGTCCACTGGAGAGCGCTCCGAAAACGAAATGTTTTCGAACACATTATTTCTCTGGTCAAGGACGTGTACAATGGCTCCACGACAACAATACGCGCTCCACACAGCCAAACCGGAGCAATAGATGTCACTGTTGGAGTACACCAGGTATGAGCTCCAAGCTCCTTCCTTTCTCGCTTATAATGGACACCATCACAAAAGAACACGTGAACGGATTACTAAAGTCCATCCTCTACGCTGAAGACATCGCTCTGATAGCGGGGAGCAAAGATGAAATCCAGAACAAGCTCCAGAAATGGAAAGTGCTGGCGAAGAGCGGGCTCCGACCAAACGTCAAGAAGGCCATGTTCCTCAGCTCCGAGGAGTGCATGGAGCCAATCGTCGACGTTCACGTGAAAGTCATCGGAAAGGTATGGGACTTTCGATATCTGAGGAGTGATCTAGCCACTCACGGGAGCGTGGACCAAGTCGTAAAGCTCCCGAATAAACGCAGCATGGATGAGGTGGAGGGAGTCCGCCTGCATCCTCCGCGATATTCGGTGCTCCAGGACTTTCACCGGAAAGGTGTATTTAACAGTGGTAAGGCCTACGATGCTCTTCTGCAGTGAGTGTTGGACTGCAAGTAAAAACCATGAAAGACAGCTCCACTCCGCTGAGATGAGAACGCTCAGATGGAACTGCCGTTGGACGCTTCTCAATGGGACTAGAAATGAAGACGACGCCTTGGCTCACGCGGCCTTCCCGCCCCTCGATCGATGTCACGTCAGACGAGTGTCGAGGCTATACAGACTGCAACTATTCGTTCTAGGACCCACCACAATCAGCTGATCACCGAGTGATGAGGCGATGTTTTTTCCCATTCTTTTTTCCCCTGTTATTCTTTTTGCTAGGGATCCCTTATTTGATTTTCTACACCAAAAGGCCGAAAAAGGTGAGCTATTTTGCTGTCACTAGAGTTTTTTTTGTTACGTATGGTTATAAGTTAATGAATTTTTGTTTACCGTAGTCAGTTATTTGCAAAATGACCCGCATTGTATAGCTCGTCCAGACGCCCCACTCTTCTTCATTCTTCTGTTCTCTTTCTCGTCCGGCCCCCTTTTTAACGATTTTTCGAAGCCCTTTTTTCACTTTGGAAACACCGTTTCACGCAGTTCCTTCGCCTACATCGCACTATTTTCCATCTTATCTTCCATTTCGTCATGATCGTGATTACCCGAAATCATCGTGAACTGTGTCTTCAACGAAGGGAGAAAAGAAAAAAAGACAATTTTTAACAATTCTTCGGGTGATGAAAAATTTGCTTTCATGCCAGCAGCACATACGAATGTATTCCATATATAACACTTGGGAAACCGCTTAAACCATTTTCTTGCTGTCCGATCATCAAATTGGTAGTAGTCCCTCATCTAAATGCAGCAGTGACCTTTTCAGCTGCCGGTTTTGCACTGGACTCCACATTATATCCGTTAAGCATAATCAAACGTTTAACCATTTTAGCCAATTATCAACTAATCTCAGGCGCGCAAACACTCTCGCATTCCTACGACAGTGCTTTGAATTTTTTCTCAATGAAGTCATCTGTACCAGGGAAAATTCAAGTTTGACCAAAATGCGGAAGTAACTTATGGCTCCATGCATTGTACTGTGTCGAGCGCCGCAGTTGGTGCGCAGCGATGACCAAGTTGGTCTCCAAATTTGAATCAAGTGTAAGCCGTTAGTCATGCCACCACGTCGGATGTCGCTCGTCACTTGGCCATGAACATTGATTCGTACGATAGCTTGACAACCCGGATCGGAAGCATGTGATTGAGAAGATGGGGCTCAACCCCTGACAATCCGATACCTAACAATCCTTATTGTCTATGCAACATCAGGCTACGAAAAAGGGAAGCTGGAAGCGTTCTATGTGGACCTGGAGAAGCTCTTCAGAAAGGAGTCTTCCTTTAAGGTCATCGTCTGTCATTTCAACGTCAAGATGGCCCGAGGAGAATGGATGAAGGGCTTCATAACGAACTCACGGAATGAAATTATCGGAGTGAGGGACTGTTGATCATGTCGACCAACACCACACCTTCGCAGGTCTGAATGTCTTCTCATTTGCTGTGGACATGGGAGCCCCTCTCAGGCGCTTCTATACTGAAAGAGATAACGTCAACTTTGATCAAAAGTTTTGCTTGACTGACGCCGCTTGGTCCGTATTCTGCACGGAATTGCACAATCGTCTCCTCACCAGATTCTGTTTTCAGTGGCTGCGTAGTTCAGGAAATGAAGCTTCAATTTCTTTATCGAACGGAACATATCGCTCCCTTTGATGGTCTCTGGAAAGGTTCCGTTATGAACAACATCGACGAAGAATATTGCGTTGAACATCTTCACAATAGTGCGTCAGCATGGAATCGCGCGAACTACTACAGGTAAACTTGCCCAAACTTGCCAAGCTATGTAGAGAAACGGTAGAAGAAGATCATGGCACTTACCAGTACGATCGCCAGGCTACCCCTTGCTCTTCTCGCTAGCGCGTTGTATATAGTAGGATAAAATGGAATCTCGAGCACGCGGAACGAATGCTAGTCGAACTCGACAAGGGTCGTGGAAAGGCTGAACTCACTGAAGACGAAAATATACTGGCACATAGCGCTCTTTTCACGTCAAGGGAAATGAATGCTTCCGAATGCTCTAGCTACGTGTAGTATGCTAAGCCGAGAAATCAACTTGATGATCTACCTAGTTCTGGAGCTGAACAGAAGGAAACGCGCTGCGTGGAGAGCACTGAAGAATATCGAGGGAGTGATGAAGAAGACGAAGGACATCCGGTTCTTCGTCTTCTTCACCTTTTCGATACTGCTGTCCTTCCGGCTTTTAAATACGCCTCGGAGACTTGGACTATTTGAATGCAGGATGAACCTGCTTTTAGTGTACTCAACGCGCGTTGGAAAGGGCTCAGATTTTCCTTATCCGCGCAAGTACACAAAGGAATGATTCGATCAGCTAGCTGCTCGAATCAGCCTGCGTGGCTGTGTGGGCTGCAGTACCGTCCTGCTGGAATGACTACAAGCTGTCTCAAGAGAGGAAGTTGGATCAATGCTTCGATGCACCCGTCACTACGCTTTTTGGGTATAGATCTTTTTTAATTTTCACACCGGTAACGACGATACCACGTGCGTCCTACCCCTGCCCAGGACCCCCTCGATAAACATAAGCTCTCTATTTTTACTACATTTTTTCTTGCAGGAGATGGCACGTTAATTGTTTCTAGTCAGGACGCTGTCGTTTTCTTTGTTTAGGATTGGTTTTGTCGCAAGTATTTTTAGTCAGAGAAAACGATGACGGTATACGTGTTTTCACTCAAGTGAGTTAGCATCCTTCTGTATTTTTTGGCCCTACACTCTGCTGACATGGCAAGTGAGGCGACATTTCTGCATAAGATACCAACGGCAATGAAGCTTCTGCTTGGGAATTCGCCCCATCAACACTATTCCTGCTCACATGTCGTCTTTCTGATGGGTCACCCAGGATCACGATCACGGCTTATAAACGGACCATTTCAACGGTCCTAACTCTGGAAACGCTGGCCTTTCTACAGTTTACTGGTTTGTCTTTGATTGAATCCGCTTCTCTGNACGGGTATTATAGGAATCACAAAGAATTTCGTAATGCACTTCCGCCTCTCGCATTTCAATGACTGCATGTGGCATTGAATGAGCCTCCGCTATACATACAAAATACATTGATAGTCTCACTTCAGTCTTTGTGCGTATTGCAGGAAACCTACTTGTGCAGTGCAACCTACTTGCACGTAAAAATTTGAGTGAGTGAGTGGGCTTGATAAATTATACCTACCCAAAAAGTTTCTGGATTTTGTTTCTCATAACTTTTTGATACCCTGTAGGTATGAGTCTTGAAAAATGGCTTCGCTTTATTGGACCTGAAGTTGTTGGTGACCGGGTTGATTGAGAAAGGATGATGCATGGACAGGCATAACAAACAGTCTCTGAAAGCAGAACATGAGAGAACAGAGCCTGCAATGGTATGGACGAGAAGATCACAGGATCGCCTCCTAAAGGGGACTGATGGTCAAGTTCGACAGAGCTCACGGTAAGATGGTAGCTCATTAAAATGCACCACGTCAAGGTGACGCATATGAGAAATGGGCTTCTTCCAAGTTCCATGGAGCAAACTGCACCTACCTCAACCCAAACACGCCGTGAAATTGAGGTTGCCAGTGAATTAATGTGAAATAGAGGCGAACAAGGGCAGGTAAGGGCTGGAGAAGTGTGAGAGCGTGTTGAATAGCAAACTTTCGATTTTGATCCTTTTCGAATCAATGTACCCCAGCAATTTCGTCTCTTTAACACGTTGACGACAATGTCGCGCAATGGTGCGCGACGGTGCATTCTTTGATTAAAGTGTGTGTGCTCGCTCCGTTTTTTGTGCAGATTTTCAATTTGGGCTTATAAGTGTCCAAAGTAGCACCGGCCACCTATTAAATCAATTCCAAGATGAATAATACAAATACAAGACAGGATCAAGCGCAGGAGCCATATCGTCGCCGTCTAAACCACCTGCAGCATCGTCGTTGCTGTAGAGCAGCCAGTGGTCAAAAATTTCGTTGAGTCTTCCATTTCAATATCCGTGACACTCATGATGACAGAAATAGACGCAAGGATAATAATACTCTCAGATGTCCTGCTTATATACCCCTAATTCAAATTTATCACCACCAAATTTGAAATTATCCCGAGTAGCCGCAAATCTTGGGCAAAATTTGAATACTGCTGGAAGGTTTGCGGATTTTAGATGTTTTTGAATGTAATCACTCATTTTTTCAAGAAATAACAAATTTTCAAGAAAGAAACTGTGTCGTTCCACGGGACAGACACGAAGAAATCGGCTCGTCGTCAACGTGTTAAAATGCGCAGCCGATCAACACCCTGCAACATGTACGGAAAAGACAAAGATTGAAATCGGTTGATTTAAGCCTGAGCAACTGTTCCATTCAACATTTTTTAAGTGACATTAACATTTTTGATGTGACTGAGGTGTTCGTAGGCCGGCCTGTCACGGGGCCTGTCGCCTGCATTCGAATGTCCGTGGTCAGCTCAGCCCACAGAGTGGGCAGTTTCCAGTGGCACCACTTGGAGGAACGGACTTCGCCACCAAAAATTTTGGAACGCTTCACGAATTTGCGTGTCATCCTTGCGCGGGGATTATTGAAATTCCGCCGATGTGCCTGCTGCGAGTGCAAACGTCAGCGGGCACATCGGCGGAATTTCCCATCTCCGTCGGAGTACACCAAGGCTCTGCGTTATCCCCACTACTTTTTGTTGTCGTCATGGATGCCATCACAAAAGACCTCCAGAAGCCGGCTCCATAGACGCTTCTTTATGCCGATGACGTGATGCTCGCCAACGAGGACAAAAGCGAGCTCGAGTCACAGGTGCAGACCTGGTCCGACCGTCTGGCTATGTTCGGGCTCAGGTTAAACGTCAAAAAGACTGAGTACTTGACCACTGATTCGAGCGAGCCAGGCTCTATCAAGATCAATGGCACTGAGCTTACACGGACAACAACTTTCAAGTACCTTGGATCGGCAATTGCGTCTGACGGC